GCTCTGCATTCTTTGGTCCTGTTATGCTAACACAATGTTCTAGGGTAGGGGTGAAAGAATGCAAGGATTTGTGGAAAGTTTCAAGGACAAATACACCACCCCAGTTAGTCTCTTTGTATCGATCTTCAGGTGCGTTAGCAAAATGTCAGGGTGTAAAAGGAAGCGTGTTGTGTTAAGTATTCAACAGAAAAAGGAAAATGCCGTGAAAAAGTAAACGACAGTATTAAATTTTAAGTGTTAAGTGTGAATATTCGTAAAAAATGTTAGATATTGTTGAAGACTGTGATTGAAATAACTAATTCATACTTCAGTGTAATGTAAAAAAAAGTATGAAATAGGCCATGAGATGACATAAAAATGAGGTTGAATAAATTTAAATACAGGTAGGCCTATAGTATTATGAAGGTATAGTATTACAGTACTACTTTTAATAAAATTTGTCTTAACCAGGTTTTCGATTAATCGTGATTTCCATCCCCACCATTATCCCAGATAATCGAGAGTTGAGTGTAATATAATTTATTTGGGATAACTGGTACATTTAGAGTCACCTAGAAAAACTAAGCCCAGACTCATTGTCTTAGTGATATGTAGCAATAGCTAGGATTATTATTTTTGTCCTTGTTCTTCATCTTGAGCTTTCCTCCTATCCACACCATTTCAGGAACTAGTTCTGTTTCCATCATGAGTTGTAAGGGAAGAAAATGTGGCTACTTCATAGGGTCCATTAGAGACGTAGTCTCATTCACTGGACAAAAAGTGCTAATTTTGATTTATTGTAATTGAACATGCAGTTCCCCCACCTGATTATTGACATGGGCCAATAAGTGAAGGTAAAAGGTACAGTTGTCCCTATGCTTAATTAGTTGATCAGCCCCCCCCCCCTCACCAGGAAAGGGTCCTAGGTACCCAATGGGTAGGAGGCTGACTGGGCCTTAGTGTCGGTCTGGACGCTGTGGAGAAGAGAAACTTGCACTACTGGAAATTAAACCTAGGCCATTAGGTCCAAGTGAAGTGGTGAAGATAGATTAAAAATGAATTGTGTTCAATTTGGCATTTTGAATTTCTCATGAACTCTAAGATCTCTGTTGAAAGAAATTATTACAAGACTTCTTACTTAAAAGTAATTGCTAATATATATGATTTATTTTTAAAAGACTGGTTTATTGAAAGAAATATGTATAATATCCACAACAGAGAGACTAAAGAAGATGTCCAGTTCTCCATTAGCAAACTCATTTGTAGAGTATTAAGCATCAAATAGACATGGTGGCCCTGTGGTCTGGC